GCCGGCCATGTCTGGCCGCAGAGAGGAGCACACACTGTGCGGACAAAGACGGATCGTGTCGCGGTGAGCGAGAGCGCGAGTGTGTGAGTGCGCCAGCGTCTCATGACTGATAGTCGGCGTCAGTCATTTCCTCATCCCCTTGACAGCTCTAAGGCCCCATGCGGGTGTGTGTGTGTGTGTGTGTGAGTGAGTGTGCGTGTGTGTGCGCAGGCAAAGCTAGGCAAAGCGCGCGTCGGACCGGCATAGGCCGGGCAGCCCTCGAATCGCACAGCTCGGCATCTTCGGGGCCGCCGGTCCGGTCGGGGCCTCTCGGTTCGGTCAGTCATCGTCCTCATGTCCTCAAAGCAGTGGCGTGGCGCGGAACCGAGCGGCAGAGCCACGCCGCAGAGACATGAGCCACGATGAATCGGGAGCACAGTTCCGACATGGAGTCCAAGAGGAAAGAGAAAGAGCCAGTCATGGACAACCTGCTTCTTAGAGCTGGAGCACACGGCTCGCACACACACACACACACACACACACACACACACACACACACACGCGCGCGGCACACGCACAGTAGCCATAGGCCATTGCCGTCTGCGGCGAAATGCGCACGCGCGCGTCGAATGCGCGACGAACGAGGTCGACCCTCTGGACGTCCTAGATGTCCTCGGTGAGGAGCGACCGTCAAGGACGCGCCGAAAGCCCCAGCAGCCCCGATTTCGTCAGAGAGAGAGAGAGAGAGAGAGATGCATAGGGCGACGAAAACGACTCCCGGCATCCTGCTGGCAGTGGCTGGCAGGCAGGCACACAGGCGGGCACAGAGCGAGGCGGCGCCACACACCTCCGCAGCCATGAGAAAATGCGTGAAAGTGTGTAGAGCAATTAGACAGCCGAGCCGAGAGCCGCGAGGCCTTGGCCGTCTGCACTGCCAGGTGCCCAAACTATAGACTCCCCGCGACGCGAGCCGCGACGGCACCTCAGATATTCACGCGTAGTACTCTATGACATGCACTTCAAACTGCGTATTCGTAACATTCATTGATATTCACAATCCCTGCAACGACGAAGGACGACGGGGCGAGGCGCGGATCGACGGCGCTGCCCTTTGCTGCCGCGCTGCCTGCCGCCCACACTGTCGAGTCTGCTGAGCACACAGCCGAACTCGGCCGCAGCGACGCCGCCGTCATCGCCGCCCTGTTGACTCGCCTTTCTCCTCGGCGCGCTAAAGTTCAGCGCGCGGGTCGAAGTTCCAAGTTAGGCCGCGGAGCCGCGGACTCCGGCCGCCTTGGCCGCGCCGCCCGCACTGTAAGTTGCGTTGCGTTCGACCAGGGTCAGTCATGTCAGCGGGTTTACTGCGTCCACGCCTACGCTCCAGTAAGGTGCTCCAGCAAAGCGTTCCAGTAGGCGGCCCAGCAGAGCTCTCCTCCAGCAAGCAGCGCTCTCTTCCAGCGAACCGCCATCTACACTAGAAAGGGCTGTTTCTCCCTTGAGCTAGCCGGTGCCAGCTGTGCCGTGGCTGTGCCGTGGCTGTGGCCGCCGCCTTGGAGCTTGAAGCGCGGCCGCCTTGGGCCGATCCGCTGATACGCTGATAGTGAAACTGGCGAAAAACAAAAGCGCACCGTACATCGCGCGTGGGGCGCGTCCGAGCCGATAAAATCTCGGTTATGTCCTCTCCTTTCTCCTCCATTTCAAAAGCATGTTTAATGTATTGCAGGCGTCCGACACTCTACTGAACAGCCGGCCGGCGGCGGGGGGCGGCGGGGGGCGGCGGGGGGCCTGTGTGGCGGGCGTTGCGGCCGCGCGGCGTTGCCACGATGTGCCGCCACGATGTGCCGCCACGATGTGCCGCATGCTGGAACGGCTGGAACAGCCAGAGCAGCGCAAGCAGCGCCGAGTCGAGGCGCTGGAGCGCTGGAGCTGGAGGCAGGCAGAGAGAGCCAAGCCGGTGCAGCCGGCACCGCCGAGCACCGCCGAGCCGAGCCGGCCAGAGAGTCCCTGCCAGAGACGGACCGAGGCGGCCAGGCTGTTGGGCTGGCTGAGTGGCGAGCCGTTTGCACTGAATCGTAAACGCGCCCCGATCCAGCCTCCAGGACTCCAGGACTTTAGGACTTCAGGACTTTAGGACCTCCAGGACTTCAGGCGACTGCCGGACTTCAGGGCCTCCAGGACTTCAGGACTCCAGGACTCCAGGACTCCAGGACTCCAGGACTTCCGGACTTTAGGGCCTCCAGGACTCCAGGACTGCGGGACTCCGGGACTCCAGGACTTCAGGACTTCAGGACCCCAGGACTTCAGGACTCCATGGCCTCCAGGATTCCAGGACTCCAGGGCCTCCAGCCCGGCGATGGATGGACGGCAAATCCAGCAGTCCAGCACTCCCATGGCCATAAAACATGCAGAGGGCGCTACAGGGGCTACAGAGTGTTGCGCAGGCCGCAGGCCGCAACGCAGAGAGCCGGTCGAGCTGGCGGACACAGTGGGGACACAGCGCAGACACAGTGCGGACACACTGTGGACACAAGGCACAGAGTCCACCAAAAAGGGCCTGAATGAAACACGAGGGCGCCGATTGCTCCCACCTTCCAGAGCAAACCATTGGTGCCTCCATCCATGCACTTGGCCGGAGTCCTCAAGATTGGAGCGCAAGCGCAACAAGTGTCAGTGTCTAAGCAGCTGTCTTGGCCGATTCAAAAACAGCGCACGCTGTCTCTCTCGCTCCCCGACGGAACGCCCCACGAGTGCGAGAGAGACAGAGTCCACGTCCCGCTGAGGGCGAAATGCAAACAAAGACCACGCCGCCCTCCGCGGGCAGAGCGGCCAGGCAGGACGAGGTAGTCCCTTTCACTGGTCTGGCGTCGCCACTCGTGGCCCGAAGCACGGCCCGAAGCGCGGCCCGAAGCACGGCCCGACCTGGCCCGGCCGAACCGGTCCGACAGTGTAAAATAAAAGCGTGGTGCTGTTGCAAGCGTCGCGGGCACTGGCGGGCAGCGGCGCGGAGGGTGCGGTGCGCGACCCCCAAGACGAGGGAAGGACCATTCCAGGGCAGCCCTCGCCGCAGCCTCCAGGTGGCCTTGGCCGGACCAGGGTGACCTCGGCGGCCCTGCCGAACGCCTCATGGGATCGAGGCGCGGTGCAGCGCGGTGCGGTGTGGTGCGTACCCTTGGGCTACATGCTCGGGTGACATCATGATCCCATCTCGCCTCCAGACGGGCAGCCATAGGCAGCCAAGGCGCGCGGGCCGGGCAAGGCCGGATCCTAATGAAGGATATTGCGGTATCCTGGCGGAGCGATGGGTCTTCCTCGCGGGGCAGCGCAGCGGAGCGGCAAGGAGCAAAACCGCGCCGCTTTTGAACAGGCGAGCCGAGCCAGAGCGGCCAGGCCAGAGCCAGCCGGCCGGTTTCAGACAAAGGCCTTTTCCACGGGAACGGGGCCGCGCGCCGCACCGCAGCGCAGCGCCCCCATGGAGAATAGGCGGCAAATCCGCGCGCCATCTCCGCGATCCGCATCTGTCCGAATGGAATCAAGGGACGACCTTAGGCGGGCCGGCCGGCCGGGAAGTGACACCAAACGGGACGCCCTGTCTCTGTCGCACTGGGGGCGTTCCACGTACTAGGTGCGAGAGAGACAGAGCGACGTCAGTCTGAAGTATCGGCGGACTTCGCAATCACTGGGTTCCGAAGGCGTGACCGCGGCCACCGCGGCCACCGGTTGGAACGTGTGGCAATTTGGCCACCGGCGCGACATTTTTCCCAGCGCCTGGACTGGGCGGACCTCGGGGCGGACCTCGGGGCGGACCCATAGCGGCCGACCGGACCGACCCGCCTGACCCACATGCGGAACGGCTCGGAATGACTTGTTGCCGTCTCCGCCCGCCCCGCCCCCGCGAGTGGGCCGGCCTCGGCCTGACGGCTGGGCGCTGCGCGACGACCTGGACCGGGCGTCTTGGGCTTTTAGCATGGGAAAACGCGCCTCCGCCTTTACGCCCTGCCATAAACTCACAAAAATTGCCCCGACAGCCCATGGCGGCCCATGGCGGCCCGTGGCGGCCCAGGGCGCGCATTAGATGCACTCCGCTTTAACGGGCTCGCTCGCATTCGGCCGCCGGAGTCCCTTCTTCTTTTACGATTATTTTTAAAAGGGTTGGCGACGCCCTAAATGATTCTCCGAGAGGCGTTCCGGCTGGTGAAGCCCCTCTGGAGCCCTGCCTGGCTGGCTGGCTGCCTGCCTGGCTGCCTGCCTGGCTGCCTCTGCTGCCTGCCTGGCTGCCGCCCCCCGTGCGTGAGCTGCGTGAGCAGGCCCCATGACCCCGGCCCCCCTCCCCCTCATCAATCCGGGCTGACACCTGAATGCCCTGCAGGACTCCGCCAGGACTCCAGGACGCGCTCCGGGACTCCAGGGCGCTCCAGGAAAGTCCGGCAGCGACACACTGGGCGCAATTAAAAGAACGTTATGCCCACGCGGCTGGGTGGAGGGAAGGCACGGCGGCCGTTACCGAGCTGGAAGAAAATTGATGCGCGGCCGGGATTCGAACCCCCAACCCTGGCGAAATATCGTTTCTGCCATGCGCCGAGCCCTGACAGGATGTAGGACTGTGTTGCCTGCGGTGGGTGGCGGGGACCCTGGAAGACTGGCTGGAGTGGCCTCGGACTGACTGGCGTCACTGTGCACACTGGTGATAAGCAGACCGGCGGGTCAACACGCCACGCCACTGTCAAACAAGCAGACGACGGCAATCCAATCACCTCCGCGACCAGAGACAGGCCGGGGGGCGGGGAAGGTGGAGGGGGACACTATTGTGATCTGCGGCCGCGCTGGTCGGCACGATGCGGTCGCCGATGGATGGACTTTGGAAGGAAAGTGCTGACAGGGCGCGGGCAGCGCGGCGCGGCACGGCGCGCCACGGATTAGGGTTATTGTTTGACAGGGCCGACTGGGCCAGCGCCAGGGCGGTGCCAGGACCGACGCGAGGACGCCGATAATGGAGAAAGTCCGTGCAAGTCTCGCAGATCACTCACCTCCTTCTGGTGGCTGGCACGAAGGCGAAGGGCAGGCGTAGTCCGGGGGCGGCGAAGCGGTGGTGTCCGGGGGCCGTCTGCGGGGGCGGCGAGAGCTGCGGGGGCGGGACGGCGACTAGGGGTGGGGGGGCGGCCAGCATGTGCGGGGGCAGGCCGAGGGGCAGGGTGGTGTAGGGCGGCGGCAGATGCGAATGCAGCAAATCCGGCAGCCCCGCGGCGGCCGGCTCCCCTGGCATCGGCGGTAATCCTGGCACGGTGGTCTGCGCCGCCCCCAAGGCCGCCCCCGACAGCCCCGCGAGGCCCGCTTGGGGGTGGGGGTGGGGGTGAGGGTGGCGCGGCTGCAGGCGCCGCAGGTGGCGCCTCTCCCTGCGCTCGCGCCGCCGCTCGCGCCGCCCCTCGGCCTCCAGGTCATCCGTCTGCGCCTCGGTGGACGCGAAGGTCCTCGACAGGCTGGACGACTGCGGCGGGGGCGGCACGGTCGCCGAGCCCCCGGGCGCGGCCGTCACGGCGGCAGCAGCCCTGGGCCGGGGGCGGGGCGTGGGGGAAGGGGTGGGCACTCCGGTGGACACCCCGGTGGGCACTCCGTGGGGGATTTGCACGTTGGAGACATTGTTGAGGCACGGGATGGTGGGCACCGTGGCCACCGTGGCCACCGAGGGCGCGGGCACACTGACACTGGGACACACTGCACTATTCACTGCACTGCCGGTCACGGTCACGCTGCTCACGCTGCTCGGCACTGGCACTGCCGACGGCGTTGCCGGCGTTGCTGCCGCGGGCACTACACACGCGGACTCGATGCTGGGCACGTTGAGCACATTGACGAGCATGGTGGGCCCGGGCCTAGGCCCATAGCACGACGACGGCGCGGCCGGGGCCGATTCGGGCGACGCAGGCGTTGGGGTCCGCCTGCCAGCGCGTCCGGTCTCCGACTGGCGAGCGCGAGCGCGAGCGCGGCCTGAGTCGGGTGCGGGGCAGGCGGGGCACGGGGGGCACGCGGGGCAGGGGCAGGCGGGGGCAGGGGCTGCAGCCGCCGCGGCTGGCGGGGAGAGCGAGGCTGGCGCGGCGGGCGGCGGGACGCGCAAGCTTAGCAGACAGTGCGGCTGGCTCAGGCTCGAGTCTGATGCTGTTCCAATCCACGGCGTTTTGAGGTCACTGACCACGCGGGCTTCGCGGGCTTCGCGCTCGCCGCCCTGCCCGGGCTCCCCCTCGAGGTCGCGGGGTGCGTGGTGGCGTTGTCTCCGCCGGCGCCCTGCGCAGCCACGGGGTGTGGTCCAGGCCGTGTCCGCGATGCTGGCCCCCGACGTGGAGGCCGTCAGCAGGCCGCGCAGCGAGGACGCCGACGTCTCCCTCAGTGGCGGCGTGGGCGTGGTCTCGCTCGAGGAAGAGTAGTCCGAGCTGCTGGTGTCGCGGGGGCTGTGGTGCAGCGCGCACCTGCAGGGGCAGCGGCAGCCCTCGCCCCCGCGGGTCGCACTCCGTCCCCGCGCGCCGCGGGCCAGCCCGCCGAGCCCCGGCCGCGGGTACAGCCACAGGCTGACGTCGGCGTCGTCCGCGTACTGGTACATGGGGGTGTCCTTGGGGTCTCTGCAGTCGTAGGGCTCCCACAGCAGAGACTGCAGCGCCTCCTGGCAGTCGCGGTGGTAGGACCGCGAGGACTCCCCCGTCGACGGGCTGCCTTTCCGCCGACGGAATCGCCACGACTCGGCCTCCTGCTTGTCGTCGTTCTTCACGTCCTGCACTGCGCCGTCGGCCGCGGCACCGCTCTTCATGTCCTGCTGGTCTCTAAGCCGCGCCAGGCTCTCCAAGATGGCGTTGGCGCTGAGCACGAGCTCCCCGCCGTTGGTCGCTGCGGCGCCCGGGGTGCCGCCGCTGTCCGAGAACTTGGGGCCCTGCTGCTCCATCCTGGCCTCCATCCTGGCGGCGTGCTTGCGGCACGACCGCCCCTTGCACCGCCTGCCCGTCGGCGCCGCCTCATCCCTGGCGTCTTTGACGGGCTCCGCGGTGCTGGCGGCCGGGTCCGCGAGGTCGTCGTCGTCGCCCTCCGAGTCCAGCAGCGCGGCCGTGGACAGCGGCCGGGGCGCAGCGGCCCGGCGGCGCTGGGCACTGCGGGGGCTGAACGGGGAGGCCATGGCGGTCGCGGACCCGGGTCGTGGGGCCGGCCGCGTCGGCGTGCTCATGGCTCATCGCGCATGCGGCCGCCTGCAACACACGAGAGCACCAGGTCACAACAAGGCTAATCACGAAGAGGAACGCGCGGCGCCGACGAAGGCCGCCAGGTTGCACGCACATCGCGCAGCGTCGCGCAGCGCATCATCGCCAGTAAACCCCGGGGCCGCCGTCGGCCTGCCGATGCGCCATGCGCCACTTCCGCCGGATGATGATTTTTAATAACAAGCCGTTAAAGTTCCTCCAGAAGGCCGTGACTACCGTGACGCCGAACCGCTTCCGGACACGTTGAGTCACGTCGCGTTCGGCGGCCGGGCGGCCCAATTAGACGGGCGCGCGCGCACGCCGCGCACGCGTGCCACATCGGTAACAACAACGCATGACGCGGCACCCCGAAATACCGACTCCTCGACGCCAACGGGATGACAAACCGCGCGCTCACATTCCCCCTCATGTTTTGCGTGCACCTACACCGGCGCCGCGCCGCCAGCCCACGCCGCAGCGCGCACCGCGTAGCACGGCGCGGCCGTGCCGTGCAGCCTGCAACTTTCCCCGCGTCATTTACATATAACTCGCAGGGATAACCTCTCCGTCGAGCGCCTCTCCCGCGCAGCCCGCGCAGCAGAGCCCGCAGCCAAGCGGCGCTGCAGCGAGGACAGTTTTCTTTCCGTGGCACGGCAAGGCACGGCAAGGCACGCAGCACGACGACGGAAATCGAGGGAAGACCTTTTATAATTGGAACGAACGGCGCGGTGCGGCGGTCGCTGCAGCGGTGCGCTTCCGTCGTTAAAACTCCCAGCTGCCCTCCGACGATATGCCCTGCGCCCCGCTGTCCCGCTAGCGCTCTGGCTCGGCGATGAAATTAACGAAGGAGGCAGCAGACTGATCCCGAGAGTCGTTTTCATCGCTCTGTCTCTCTCGCGCAAACGCGCTGCCCCATGAGTGCAAGAGGGACAGAGCGACGAAAACGACTCTCGGAATCAGTCTGCTGCGGCGCGGTCGGATGGCCGTCGGAGGCCGGGCGGAGGGTGTCCTGCTGGCTGTACCCGAAGCAGACCCTGACGGTGGTCCGCACCTGGCCAAGGTGCGAGGATGCGGCAAGGTTAGCCATCCCGCGTGTGTATCCTCTTGCTCCACATCCCTCTCGCCTCCCCAATGTCACGCGCGCGGCACGCGCACGGCACGCACGGCGGCGCACGCGCGGAGGCCGCACGCGCAGCGCGCAGCTTTTCGATTCCCGCCAAGGCGACGCATCTTTTCAACGACTTTTCGTTTCAGCCCGCTTGTCGGCGTGGCCGCGTGGCCGTGATGCAACGCACGGTCGCCTCCTCGCTTTGCCTCGCTCCGCGTCGCTTTGGCGCCATTTTCGGGCCGCCACGGGAAGGCGCGAGAAGGCGCCGAAGAAGGCCCCCGAGACCCACAAGCAGCACGATCGGGTTACGGCGCGCCGTGACGCCACCGCGGCGCCGCCGGCCGTCGACGGCGAGGTGCTCAGGATTCCCCGCGGCCGCTCGGATTCCGCAGCGGGTCCCACAGGAAGCCGGAATTAAAGAACAATGAGCTGGAAACGGACACACCAGGCCAGTTGCATAAAGCAGGCCTGCAGGAAGGAGGTCAGCAGCGTGGGGCAGGCCAGGGCAGGCCAGGGCCGTCGCCGCGCCCCGCGCTGCAGCAGCACGCGGGGAAACGGAATGTGTCGCGGTAACCATGGCGACGACGCCCTGGGCTTCCTTCCCGATGCAGATGATGTGAAAATGCGGCGGTTTTGCGTAACGCTTTGGGAGAGTCGAGCGCACGGCGGGCCTGCCCTGCCCAGCGCGCCCGGTCGGGGCACGCCGCACGCCGCGCCGCACGCCGCGTGTCCAAAGCGGCTTGTTTGCTAAAACGGGTTGCGTGCCCGGCGCTCCCAACGGGGAGGCAAAGACGGCCTGGATGAAGACCCTTTGTTCGGCCCGCTAAGTCCTCGCCGTCCTCGCCGGGTCTGCCCCGCGGTTTCGCGATGGCCTGCTCTTCTGCTTATGGCCTCTGCGGTGCTGCCGTGTCCTGCAGTCCTGCCATGGCCCCGCACGGCACCGCGGCAACGCGAGCCAGAGCTCGTTTTTATGGCGGCCGCGCGCCCGCGCCACGCCATCAAGTCCGTCGCGGCCTACTCCCGCGCACCGCCACTGCTGACGCAACGCCTAATTTGTCCTTACCCCCGCGGCACGGCGCGGCGCGGCCACCACAGCGCCCAAATTACTCGGCTGTACGCGATCCGGCCTCCGCGTCGCGTGGCTCGGACCTCTCGGACCTCTCGGACCCGGCAGCCTTCGTCGCTCCGTCTCCCTCGCACTCGCTGGGCGTGCCGCAGGGGTGCGAGAGAGGCAGAGCGACCCCAGCCCAGCAGCCGGTCAGCAGGTGGGGAGGCCAGCGTGCTCGTTCTCATCGCCGAGGTCCCAGGGATGATGTCGCGGGTCTCATCCCATTCCCAGAGGACGCCGTCGTCGTCGTGGCGGTGACGCAAGGACCGCGAGGGGAACCGGGTCGCCGCGGGACTCACACAAGCAGCACGCCGAGAGGACCGAGGAGGCGGTAAAGTGTGTCCAGCTCGCATTGTGCAACAATTAGAACCGCATGCGCCAGGCGCGCCGCATGGCGGAAGGCAGCCAGCCGGTGCGTGCCTGGCGCTGGAATTTTCAGAATGCGCTGAATCCACTTTTCGGTTTCACTTTCAGCCTCGCGCAACGACGATACTAGCGGTGTAGCGGCACACGGATGCCGTGGCGTCACTCCTACCGAACCGCCGCGCCGAGCTCCGAAGGTTCCGAGCTACGAGTCCAATTTCGCGCCAAATAGGCTGGACTCCAGCGGCTCCAGCGCGTTTTACGGGGCGAAAACGCAACGCGAAAAGCTGCGTGTCACGCGAGGGCTGCCGCACTGCCGCAGCACTGCTGGAGAAACGAGAAACCGACCGGCGCACGCGCTGACGGCCAGCCCGCTGTCCAGCAGTCTGTCCTGCAGCACGGCTCACACGGCTCGCCATCGGCGACATGCGGACGACCGGCGGAGAGTGGTTCCTCTTCCTGCTGCCAGGACAGAAAGCCTTTCCACGCTGATGCGTTTTAGCAGAAATGTGGCCGCAGTCATGTTCGCCTCGACTGGCGGGCTGATTATGAAACGGCGCTTCGTCGCTCTGTCTCTCTCGCACCCCTTCGGAACGCCCTATGAAAGCGAGAGAGATAGCGACCGAACGCGGGGCATCGACGTCGAGGTCGAGGCCGCGGTGGCGCCGCGCGTTGAAATCTCCGCGCCCCGAAACAGGACTTGACTTCCTCGGGGCAGTTGGCCGGTGTTGTTGCGGCCGCCGTGTCCTGCCAGTGGGGCGACGCTCGGCGACGCTCGGCGACGCGACGCGCGACCGCCGCGGCGGAGGCAGCGGAGCAGCAGAGCAGGCGGACTCAAAGAGCAGGTTGCAGGATCGCTTTCTTCGAATCACAGTGAAAGTGAAGCGATCTGTCTAGAGCGGCGGAGCGGCGGAGCCGTCGCGGCGCGCAGTGCGGCGTGGCGTGGGCGGGGCGGGGCGGGGCGGGGCGGGTCCGGAGTGCGGGCGTGGCGGGTGGTCGCGGGGCGGGGTGGGCAGGCCGGCGCCAATCGCTGAATGGCCGCGTTGCCGCGTTACGTCTCGGCCCTGGCCGCCCTGGCCGCCCTGTGGGTCCACTTCCAACGCATCGCTCCGTCTCCCTCGCACCCCGATGGGACGCCCCGTGGGTGCGAGAGGGACAGAGCACTGGCCGGACACCGCCGCCATGCCGGCCGCGGTGACGTCGGCCGCAGTAACTCCAAATCGGCGGCGCGACCGCAGTGCTCTGCCATGGCCATGCCGCCATGCCGGCAGGCCGCCAGGACGCCAGGCCTCCGCGTTTCGCGCGTCAAAATAGACGGCCCACCTTGCGTCACCTCGCGTCATCATGCCGGCCAGGGCACGGCCAGGGCTTGTGGCAATAAGCGTCCCAAAACTGCAGTCCAGTCGCACTACAGTGGGCCAGAAGACCGGTGGAGGCGGGTGTGGAGGCGGCCAGAATCCTAGACGCGTTTTGAGCTCCGGAGTCGAAATGGGACTTGAATCGAACGTGTGACCCCACCAATGGATTCGTCGTTCGGAGAGCAATCCATTGGTGGGGTCACACGTTCGTTTCGAGTCCTGTTTAGCGACTCTGGAGCTCAAAACGCGTCTAGGATAGGATTCTGGCTGCCTCCACCGGTCTTCTGGCCCACTGTGCGCCCCCACCACAGGTCTGCTTGTTTTTACCAGTGGAGCCGCAGCCCTGACTCCAACACTCCAACCTGCTTGAACTCGCGACGTGCTCCTCACTCCGGCCGAGCGTCGACGAGCACGTCAGAAGAATCCTTTCGAGGCCCTCCGTCTCTCTCGCACCCAAGGGGCGGCCCGCGAGTGCGACAGAGCCAGAGCGACGTGAGGCACGGCTCGCTGCGTGGCTCCTCTCCAGACGAATTTGTGGGCCGACCTTGCGTCGGTGCCGGCCATGCCGGCCATGCCGGCAAGGACGAGCGTCCGGGCGAGTGTCCGTGTGTGGCGACCAGAACGCGCCAGAACGCCTCCACTCCACTGCACCGGCAGCCGACCGGCAGGGCAGCACGGCTTGCGGCTTGCAGCTTCAGCTTTCCAGCGCTTTCTCGCCGCCTGCTGCATCTCGCTCGATCTGCGACTCCGCGCCGCCCAGGCACCGCCAAGGCACCGCC